TCGGGGGCCACTCATCCATCCAAGCTAGGACATGCAGTTTCATGCGTACTGGGACATACACATGGCCGTGGATACAGACAGTATTCTTCCGGGGCTGCTCATCCATCCAAGCTACAACATGCAGTTACATGTGTACCGGAACATATGAAGTGCCCTGGATGCAGACAGTATGCTTCCAGGGCAGCTCAACCATCCAAGCTATGACATGCAGTTTCATGCGTACAGGTCCTATGGAGCCACCCTAGTAACCTGTGTGTGTGTCTCCACAAATACACAGGCACAACAAGACAGGCTAATTTCCTGCTCCTTCCTTCCTTCTCCATGCTAGTAAATGGATGGTTGCTGAAGACTGCTCTATCCCTTGTGATCTTGCACTGCACAGGAAGTTCAGGGAAGCTGAGCTGAGAGAGTTGGAGCTGTTCAGAAGCATGATAACTGTAGTTGCAAAACAATGAAAGTAATACTTTGCTGGGCAATATATATTTATTTTATCTGGATTCATTATTGAATACAAATGTGAGAGTTTTATTCTACTTTGTTATTAATTTAGGTGTTACTCTTCACTTCCTCTTTTTTGGAACCACTAATGCATTCTGGTAACTGTATGTGCATAATACATGTGTAGCACCCTGCTAAAAAGAGTGCTAGGTTATTTCTATAGTCTATGTTCAGTTCAACTGTGACAGAACAATCTGTGAAGCTGTGTCTGCCTGTGGGTGGGTGTGGTACCACACAGAGCAGAACAGCCAATGAGGATTGCTTTGGGCATTTATGTCTCCCAGCCAATCACTGCAGGACAGTAGCAGTGATGCATGCTGGGAGAGGAGATAAATGCTGAGTGTGGCTGATGCAAATGTCTCTTCTTCCCTCCCCCGGGGCCCTCCTGGCCTGGGGGCAGGATGCCTGCTGCGAAAGAGACAGAATGGACTAGGCCTGAGCTGGGGCCTAGTCCTGGATGCTGGGGCCTGAGCCTGGAGGCCCAGTGGTCAGCCACTCATGTCTGAAGTTGAACCTGAACAAGACCCTTGACAGTATTGCTTGCCAGAAGTTCTCCACACAGATTGCCGGTACGGCTTAAAGGTCCAAGTCTGCGGTGGCAGCAGTTACTTTGCTCTGTTTCAAGTACAAGGGGTCTACCTTCACCCTGGATTTGCCTGACCCTCTTCCCTCTCTCCCTGGAGTTACAGCAATAAAAGAGAATCATCTTGGAGCTATTGTCTGGACTTCAATCTGTCGGTAACCACTGGAGGTGGTAAGTGCTATTGGGGCAGCCATGTGTTTTAATAATCCCTAGACAGGCTATGGAAGACCCAATCATTCAGCGGCTCCTTCGGGGGTGAGCGCTACACATGTATTGAAATTACACTATAAATTCCTTTTGTTTTATTTCATAGGCATTTATTAATCATTTCTTCACATTTACATTGGAACAGAGCTGACTAGCAAAAGTCACATTGAAATGAGTCTGGACAAACTATAACAGCTCTAAGGGTGCTTACAATGGTCACCAAAAGACGTTTACTGCTGAAGCATTCCTCAAACTCCAAACTTCCTGCATTGCTTGGTTTAGGATATTGAGGGGAATGGTTAGCACCCTGATCATTTTTGTTATGCTGTCTTGGTCCTGTTAGATGCATTTCTTTCACTTCCTGTCCAAGTGACAATGTTTGTACCGGGACAGGAAATTAGGGGAAGAAGGGTTCTATCCTCCAAAAACCCTACTAATCAAAGGTATTTTTATTGCCATTGTGTTCCTATGACAGATTTCCCCACATGTCCTGCACCAGTGGCAGCATTGTATCCAAAGGGAGCTACAGACACCAACAACAAAAAACGTGACTTGTTCCTGTCTTCAGAAAATGATGAAAGACTGGAATCAGAAATGCAGCCATTTTTTATTTGCATGTAAAAGTTTGTAGAAGCTTTTTGACCCAGAGATATAACAGGAAGTCAGGAAGAAATCTATCCAAAGTGAAGGGAAAACCCAGTTGATAGCGGTCCCCACAACAGATGAGATTTCCCGCAACACATGTTCTCATGATATCTGTCTAACTCTGTATGTGAGAGAGACGCTAGATGTGCTATTCATTCTCTTCTTCTTTAGAGTGTTAAATGCTCTTGGAAGGGCCGCTCAGACGCAAAACAGGGGACCCCCCAACTAGGTCTTAAGTGGAACCAGACAGAGAACAAATGAGGGTGCCACTGCTGATAGTAGAGCACAATATGTTTGTCTTTTTAATTTATAAAGATCAATAGAATAAAACAGTCAGTGCGTTTCGTGGGTCCACAATATTCCCCTTCATCGGGGCTGACGGATTAACTTGTGATTTAGTTCCTTTCAGTGTTTGGAAAAAAGAATGTTTAGAATCATGTTTTTTTCTGCTAAAACCCTAAACAATTTTTCCAAGTGCTTACTTTTGTTATGCAAATTGTTTTCCTCTGATTCCAAACAATGCAAGGATCTAAGTCACAAATCAATCCATAAGCCTTGAAAAAGGGGGATATTATGAACCCCTGAAACGCATTGGCTGTTTTATTCCATTGATCTTTATAAATAACATTCCATATTGAAGTATACCGTCAGCAGCGGCACCCCCATTTGTTATCTGTCCCAACAACACAAAAAGTGAGGATAAATCTCCCCCTGCAAGGACACAGGAAGCAAACAAAAACAAACAAAAAAAAAAACAGAGGCCCCAACTCTTTCCCATGGTATTCCACTTGAATTAAAAGACATTTATAGATAACCTTACTTTGTTTGGAGGCTGGGTTAGAGGATAGAATCTAGGGCAGGGGAAAGCAAACTCCGGCCATCCAGCTGTGGTGAAATTACAACTCCCATCATGCATCTGCCTCTGAGAGTCATGCCTGTGGCTGTCAGAGACTTGCAATGCCTAATGGGATTTGTAGTTGGACCACAACTGAAGGGATTTGCCTACACCTGATCTAGGGCATGGAAGAAATTGGATTGTTTTAATTTTAATACTATGAAATACAAGAATTAGATGGAATACAATTTTTTTTTTCAATTGAATAAACTGAAAAAATGTACAAAATGCAGATTTTTTTTATTTTTTACTTTAAAGCGACCATACAATGAATATTAAAATATCCAAATGCGTACACTGCAAAAGAAGAATGTAACTACCCACTGTTCCTGGTACCCGTTCTGCAAAACGCTAAGGAGGAATGGTCCCCATAAGTCTGCTGGGAAACTGACACTTCATGGTAGTGTCGCTCTCCTGTTCTTCATGAGAGTGTCGATCTCCCCCGTTGTGCTCACTGGTTTCTCCCATTGAACTCCAGCTAATGAAAGAACATGGTAGTGACAAAAAGTTTGGCAGTAGGAACCATGAAAACGGATATTTCAGTTCTGTGTGGTCACCCGAAAGTGAAATGACATGCTGGCTTTTTTTCTTCTCTAGGTGATATACTCACGTGATGGATTCTCCGCGGTTTGGCCTTATTGGAGCAACAAATGAGGGGACCCTCCAAGAGATACAAGAAGCCAGATTATTGTTTACCTAAAACTGACATATTGGCTTTTGGGTGGACTCTGATTGTTACAGCAATATAATCTTGGCCAATTTACCACTCCCATGGCGCCCTGTCAAAACCCTTTGACAACATTACTATGGTGCTGTACGACAGACAGAAGACATGCTGATGGGACACATTTTATAGGCATCCTACTAGAATATATATAACTGAGTAAGAGTTATAGTTGCAACTAGGGTTGCACCAAAGTGAAATTTTTAGACCGAAACATAAAAAAATTATTTTATTTTTATTTTATTTATTTTTGCTTTACTCTTAGGGGCTTTGGGGAAATGTCAGGGGTTTAAACGAACCCCTGATATTTCCCTTTTTAAAATAGAAAAGAGTCCTAAATCTCTTTTTCTGCAGCCCCTGTTATGAATGAACAGGAAGCCTCTATACTGAGTGCTCCTGTCCATTCACAGATTGAGGAGGTAGTATCAGTTATTATGTCTACAATCATGAATGAACAGGAAGTGATGTAGAGCACTTCCTGTTCATTCATATCTGGGGACACAGTAAGCATACTATGTCCTCAGCTATTTAAAAATACTTAGCGATCAGTATTTGTCAGTATTTGTAGTCCGCTCTCCATCCTGACTCACCTGTCACGGGAGGCCAAGCGGGGCGGTGCGGGAGGAGAGCTCGGCCTCCTGTGACAGCTGACACCTGTCTCCTCCTGGCAGCGCCCCACTCGCCCTTCTGATAGTTTCTTTCCTCCCCACTGGGCGCCGGTTTGTGTCCCCTCTGATCCCCGCTGACCCTGCCAACACAGGCGGGGGAGAGCAGCAGGGATCGGAGGGGACACAGACCGGCACCCAGCGGGGAAGAGAGAAGCTATGGATGCACCGCATTTTCTGTCATTTTGTCCAAAATTTTTGGTGCATCCCTATTTGCAACATTTAGTATGTATATATGTTTTGGGATACATTCTGTGTGGTCCAAATAAAAAAGGAGCAGAAGAGGACTATATTATTATATAAGTAGTCACATCATTCATTGTATATTGACTTAGATGTAATACAAAGACAAACCGATCTAGGATAATAATACAAAACATCGAAATAAGCAGACCCCTTTATTTTGCCAGCATTTTATTTCAGATCCTCATCTCAGATGCTGTGCACGTATGTACCCCAGTAGGAGGCCACACAAATCTGTTACGTAGGCTGCAGAAATCTGTTATGTAGGCTGTACAAATCTGTTACGTTTAGTCTTTTGTTTATGTACAATAACACGGCAGCAGCTACCAGGTTCTTTCACATTCTTATTGTGTAGACCAAGAATCCTGAAGCACCCACAAGCTATTTAAATCTATGTTCCAAAACTGGTCCACCTCAGATGTGGTGATGATAGGCCATTGTTAGTCTCCCTTTGAAGGATCCACCATACTGAAGCTCACAATTAACTTTCATCTCAGCCTTGGAGGCTAAGCAGGACTTCTTTCTCCTTTTATAGTTCCAAAGTTCTTGGCAAATGCCACATAACATGCCACCACAAATGAATGTTGCTCAGGTTCAAAAGACTTGGGAAGCGGGAATAGAGTAAGACTTTCGGTAAATCTTTGAGTCAATTTCAGTTCCCGGATAAGGAGGTGGTGGAACCTCATTTGTGGCATTCATGGCCACAGCTTGTTCATAGGTTGGCGGCGCAGTTTCAGCTGGTGGTGGAGCAAAGGGTTGCAGTGGAAGAAACTCATCTCTTCTGGACCTGAAGGAGATGTTTCTGCACTGATGCTCATCATCTGGGCTGTAGGGATGGAAATAAGTAATTAATTAGTAGGTTATGTGGGAATAGTTACATAAGCATACCGGGCAGTGTAATTATCTTCTTGATGATCTAATTGTTACTGTATTTACACATAAAGTACTGCATGCCGTACTTTCTATGAATAGTTACATAAGCATACCAGGCAGCTTAATTATCTTCTTGATGATCCAATTGTTACTGTATTTGCACATGCATGCAGTACTTTCTAGGAATAGTTACATAAAGCATACCGGGCAGCTTAATTATCTTCTTGATGATCCAATTGTTACTGTATTTACACATAAAGTACTGCATGCAGTACTTTTTTCAGTGCACACAACCTCAATACAGCGGTGTGAACTGGGCTGGCTGTAAATAAGGCAATTTAACAATTTGGGACTGTGCTGGAAAAGGCTTCTAGAGCAATCCCAACACATCTGGTCTGATGTTAATGGACCCTAAAAAGACCAAATAATAAAACCGGCTTCAATCCAAAGATTTTCCATTTTTTCTGCTACTAGATGTCCTCAGTCTGATGGCCAGCAGCATTCAACCCACTTTCTCTGAGCCCACGTCATACAGGACCTGCCCCCACCAGGAGAAGCAGCACATTAATTCGCTAATTCAGGGGTGGGAATTAATTTTCTCAAGGAGCCACATGAGAAACTGGGACTGTTGTAGAGGGCCATGCAATGCAATGCACCTGTCTCACTGTAACGCGTAGTAAGTGCGTTGCACGGTACCATGCGTGAATCACACTGAACCGTGCGATTGACGCATGGCATAGGTGTGAACGGGCCCTGAATTAAGTCTTATTGTCCCCACATAATATGAGGCACACACCTTATTATTTTTTGATAGGCCAGAAAGAGAAGCCGGAGGTGGAGCAGGCTGCAGGAGAGGACGGAAGAAGATACTCTTCTGTCCTTTTGAAATGCTAGGGGCGGGGAACACATTTGACGCTCAGCAGTCCAAGCAACCAGTGACTGTAGAAGAGGAAGAGGACCCTTGACGCCATTGATTGGAAGGACACCAGCGGTTGTAGCAACCATTGACTGCAGAGGACTGCGACACAGACCGATCACTGACCTGCACTGGACTATGGGTTGCCACTGCGTTGGAGGCCAACGCATCCACTGTCAGCCAGCCATAACCAAGTGCAGGTCAGATCAGTCCGTTTTCAGACAAAGGGCCGGACAGGGAAAGACAAAGGGCCCACGGGTCATACAATGCACAAGTCTGAGCTCATCTCTCTGCCACTATGCTCTCCTTTCCTATCAGCATGCTTCTTGTTGGCTCATGAACTAATTTGCTGCTTATACTGCTTCTTCCTCAGCCCTGCTGTATAGGGACTGCAAAAGGCTGAGACCAAGTCACATTCATGGGCTTCCATTAAAAAATACATTTAATTATATATTAAGGATTACAGACCTGCATTAATTTATGTCTTTTATATTGCCTGGAGTCAAGCTGTAACTCTTTTAATCCTAGCCTACACCAGCAAAATGAAATGCGACTGGCTGCTATGTGCAATGTTTTGTTCTACTGTGTAAAAAAGTATTTAAGTTGTGGAAGTGAAAAAACTTTTAAACATTTCTGCTTTCCACTTGTGTTATCCGTGAGTGAGTTTAGTAGAGCAATGGCTGACCATAAACTTCCAAATAAAGAGGATCAGGAGGAAAATATTAGATCTGCAGCTAGCTGTCCCAAGTGCTGTAATTACAGGGGGATAATTGCAAGCTTCTTGTGCTTTGTCAGTCAGGCAAAGCTATTATTCTGCTGTAATTACACAGTCCTGAACTGCCTAACTGCACAAGTTTAAGACAACAAGAATGTCTGTGGTAAACTGCACACAAGTGGGATGTGATCACTCCTGTGAGTCTGAAAAAGAAACTGAATCCCATGCACATTTCATGCTCCCTTGGCCATGTTTCAAGCTCAAATGTCTCTTCTGGACAATAACCCGAATCATTTTTCGCAAGATGTGAATTGAAGTAAGAAGGAGCACTGACAAACAATGACCACTAGTGGTGCTATTGAGCTTAAAGTAGACAGGCGATCACATTCATCTTACATTCAGTTGTCACCCCCTGCGGGTGTATGTGAAAGAGACAATACAATAATGTTTGTTTTTATGCATGTTTTTACTGAACCAATCCATTGCAGAACTTCAGTGATTTGCAATAGATTGGTCACATACTCCGGTGTTCCTGTAAACTAGGGATGTTCAGATACCAGTGTCGATACCAGGCATTTTCACGAGAACTACCAGGGTTGCAGTGGTTGCAGCTGGGACCGGGCTCTGGCACCCCACCACTGTCCTAAAATCATTAGTCTGTATTGTTTTACAAAAACTGTCACATGACAATAAACAAAAAGGTATCAGTACTCATATCTGTGAGTACTTGCATAAGTACTTGTATTTGGTCTGGAAAATATTGTATCATTGCATCCCTAATGTGTGTGTATATATATATATATATATATATGTGTATATATATAAATATATATATATATATATATATATATATATATACACACACACACACACACACATATATAAAATAAACTGCCTCCTAACCTTTGAGTTTTTCTCTAGTCTAGTCTTGGAGCTGGAAAAGTATCTGTACTTGTACTAGTACCGAGTACGGTACTTGGTATCCCTACCTTTTAGTTAGTTACTACAATCCCTAGTATTGTCCAGATCAAGCCAAAAACCTTTTTTCTTTTTAAGCAGAACTCTCTATGTATCAAGAGCTCTGTGTGATCTGGATACAAAGAGCGCAGCAGACCAGCTAGAAAACTGACAGCGGACCTATGCTGATTACACTGGAAGATCTGCCAAATAATGTCTGAGCTCAAGACAGACATGTATAAAACATTAAATATTGAAAAGAAAAAGCAATGGGTAAGCGAGGTACTTACATTTGGCTGCGTCGCCTTGCAGTACAGTAGATGGTATACCAATAATATCCAAGAAGTCCAAATATAACAAGACAAGTTCCAGCAGAAATTAGGCCAGTGAGGAGCCCAACCACATCTATTTTTACCCCTGTTCCAGGGAGAAGAGAATGGATATATCATATCTTAAACGCCTCAAGTATACAGGTTAATGCTATTAAAGCTGAACTCCAGCAATAGTCTTTTTTTAAAAACCTTACTTTGGTCCAGCTTGATTACATCTTTTTCTTCATATCTCACATCCGGAGGGCAGCTGGTGATGCAGAAATTCACTGTAGTAGCCTGTGCTGCATTCATTTCTGGTGCTGATTGAGCGATTGTCTGTCGGTATACTGAAAATCGGTCTTGTATATTTTTTAAAGAATGCAAGCTGTTCTCTGGTTGGACAAGGGGAGGGGCAGGGTGGATGATGTCACAATCCCCTCCTCATCCAATAGGAGAATGCCTTGAATTCATTGAAACAATAAAAGATGTTCTCTGAATGGCAGAGCTGTCCCCTTGTGTTCAGTATGCAAACGGCAAATCGCTCGAGACGCACTCAGAAAAAGACCAACACTGACTGTATGTAGCACAGGCTACTACAGTAAAATTCTGCATCCCCAGCAGCCCTCTGGATGTGAGACATGAAGTATTAGATGTAGCCAAGCTAAGCCAATGTAAGTTTCAAATGGTAATTCCTTTAACTCTGGTAAAGCTGAACGTAAAAGACACGAATCAATGCAGCTCTGTATTCATCAATTCATCATTAAATGTCATTTTTTAATGTAAGCAGTGTAAGTATCTGAAATGGTGTCAGACTCTTTAAAGTGACGCTAAACTCAGGAGATAAATCTTTAAAATACATTCAAGTACCCTAACTGTTAACAAAAATGTATCTTATTTGTATATAAAAATCCAAAACGTCCCATCGCACTCCTGACCGGAAAGAAATTCCCCACACACAGGGCGGGTGCGGCAGTGACAGCAGATGCCTCCACAGGTAACAATGAACAAATGGTAAGTCACTCGCACATTGCACAGTGCGAGTGACAGTGCCGGTGACAGTGCGAGTGACTTACCATTTGTTCATTATTTGTGTACCACTCGGCTGTAGATCCTCAAATCATCTCTGAATTGGTGCTGGCACTGTCCTTCCTTCTGGAGGGTGACTACTTTTGTTACCCATGGTCTCTGTGTGTGTTGTAAAGTATAGAATAGTGTATCACCAGCACACCGAAGGTCAAACGTCAAATAGAGAAAGTTTTATTGACATGAATACATCTTGTCAAACAACAACATTTTGGGGCACGTAGGGTCCCTTCATCAGGCATAGTGTGACTATGATCTCCTAAGTATTGTGTTGTAAAGTAGCCACCACTCCAAGCTCGCTCCTGTGATGGATTACAATCTCATGTTTAGTTTACTAATTTGTATTCAGACTATGATCTCAATAACCCCACTGCAAGGGTTAGTAATCATTTTCCCTGGAGTTCATCTGTAATGTAATATCTCTTCTGGTTGAATTCAGGAATAAGAGGTTTGCATTGATTTCATCAATCATAATAATAATAACATGAAAACTTACCTTGAGTGAATGGATCTTTAGAGTATTCTTTCCAGAACTTCATCTTTGATAAACAAAAAAACAAAAATAAAGTTACATAACATATAATGCTACATTTCAGCCCATAGCACATCCAAAGGATCTATTTAATTCCATGGTGAAACAATGACTCAAAGGAGAACTATGGGGTCAGTGTATTTCCCCATAGTTCTCCTTAGGGTAACGGGAGGACACAAACTAGCGTCCTCCCGTTACACTAAGCTCAGTATACCGCGAGCTACAGCTTGGGGTATACTGAGACGCCGCAGCCGGAGCGTATCCCGACTTAGACGACGGGATCCGCCCAGCTGCGTGAGTGACAGCTGGCTCTGCCTATCTAGAGGCAGAGCCAGCTTTACCCGCCCCCTCCCCCGTCCGTTCCGCCAGTCAGCGCTGGCAGATCGGAGCGGGGAGAGGGGAATCCAGCTCCTCCCCCTGTCACGGCAGAGAGCCGTGACAGGATCGAGAGGTGAGCGAACGCCGGTATCTGTTCGCTCACCTCCCGATCTACTGAGCCGACCTGTGACAGTCTCATTGTCACAGGTCGGCTAGAACTATGAGGTGAGTGAAAAGCACTCACCTCATAGTTCTCCTTTAAGTGTGTTCATAAGGACTAGTTCACACCAAGCGCGGAGCAGATGCAGAGCAGTTACAGAACGCATCAAAACTGCATCCAATGTATTCCAATGTTCACACCAGAGCGTTCAGTTCCAGAGCATGTGTAAAAACTGCAGCATGCCCTATTTTTTCTGCTCAGGAATGCACCAAAACGCATGTAAATGCATCAAAAATGCATGCGAATGCACTAGAATGCACTGAAAGCCAATTTTAGGCTAAAAAAAAAAAGACCGAAATGCGGCTAAAAACACTGCACTGGATGTGCAGAAACTCATGCAGGTCTGGTCTGCATTTAGTGTGAACAAGCCCTTATGAAAACGTATTTTTTGTAGTTTTGGAGAGAGTAAAGCCACCACCGTCAGAATACATTAGCCGCAGCGGGATATTCGTCCATCCGCACTGTTTAGCATGGATGGAGGAACAAAAGCTGACTGAACTAAAAAAAATAACAGTGTATGGCCAACTTTAGGCTCCATTCACATATAGAGTTTGCGTTTCCCGCCCAGTTCTAAAATCTTTACATCTGCACGGATTCTGCTTGTGTGCGGCTATTTTGCAGGACACGCAGTTTTGTACCGCGTGGTCCCTGCAACAGTGTGAACAATGCACATTGACATGCATTGTTTTTCATATGTAGAGCGGTTCCGTGCTTATTCGGCTGCTCATGTGTGATTGGAGCCTAAGTGTAGGTAGATGGAAAGTCCCTCCGCATTCCTCACAACACTCCCGGCCTATATAGAAGATGGTTCTCGCAGTGATGACCACGGATGGCGCCGTGCAGACACAAGACAGAGGACAGAAATCACCAGCACTCAATACTATCAATAAATATGTCCATTTATTGGACAAATCGTCACAGTGAGGAAAGCCAACGTTTCGGGGCCGCGCAGGGTCCCTTCATCAGGGCGAAAAGATGAAGGGACCCTGCGCGGTCCTGAAACGTTGGCTTTCCTCACTGTGACGATTTGTCCAATAAATGGACATATTTAATGATAGTATTGAGTGCTGGTGATTTCTGTCCTCTGATTGGAGCCTAAGACAGAAGTCACCGATGCAAGATTTCCCATTACACTCTTGCTTTCATCACACCTCTGTAATTTAGGATTTCCCCTTACTGTCTCATTGACGGTGGTCAACCGGGCCAACTAGAGGGGTGAACCTCCCCAGCGAGGACACAGACAGCAAAAAAAGTTAGCAGAGGGTACAACCTCTCCCTGTCCTGTCCATTAAAGAACAAGATATACAGGGGCGAAATAGAGGGTCTGGTATCTGGTGCATGTATATTCCTTGGAATAATAAATCCTTGTTACAATTAGCCTGAATGCACTTGATAGCTAAATGTTTTGATTGGCTATCACATGTTGCTTCCTTGCTTTTTCTACCACATGATAAAAATTCAGTTAATTAATTTTGGGATTATATCTAGTACAGGATAATACATGCACCAGATACCAGACCCTTTATTTTGCCCCTGTATGTCTTGTTCTTTAATTGAAAGCTGTTATCAAAATGCTATCATGTATTGCATACTTCATTATAACATTACATTGGTAAAGATCATTCTCATTTCACCAGAAACACTGCCACCTTGAGGACGTTATCTTCAGATTGTAAGAGCCAAGAAAAGTTTGATATGCTGCTTTTAGTGTATAATAACACTATTTTGTGATCCTCATCAAGTTAAATGTAACATATGAATATTGCAGTTATATATTGTGTAAACATTTGCCATGTTTGCCTTCAGTGAGGGCTTTTTACACTAATGCTGTGTTCACACCTAGGCGTACAGAATATGCGCGTTTGCCGTGCGTTTTTACCGCGATTTCCGAGGGCTTAGGCTCCTAATGGATATGCACAACAAATACGCCCCAAAGAAGCTCCTGTACTTCTTTGGGCGTAGGGCGTTTTACAGCGCGTCCCTACACGCTGTAAAACACCCAGGTGGGAACCATGCCCATAGGCAATTATTGGTTTCCACATGTTGAGCATTTTACAGCGCGTAGGAACGCGCTGTAAAACGCCCAGGTGTGAACCAGGCCTAAGCTTTAGGCATTTCTAGGCGTAGTTATTAGCAGCCCGACTAACCTACAGCAGACCGGTACTAAAACAAACCCCTCAAAACTAACCCCCCACTTCTGGTGCCCATACTTATCACTTTGCCTCCTGTCTGCCAATCTGATCATCACTTAAAGGTTTTTCAACGTTACGTGAAAGTCAATTCTTTCACTCTAATCAGTACACACCCTGTCTCCCACATAATGGCGCTCAGATCAGGCTACTGGCCACTCAGGCACCAAGTGCTGCACTGTTGCAGGGCAGAAAAGTGCGCATGTGTGTTCCATACCTGGGGTATTATGATTTTAAAGGGTAATTACATTTTGCCAGGTGAATCTGGGGAAATTGAATTACCCCCTCCAATCTGGCCCCCACACACCCCTGCTATACTTTCCTTTGGACGAACGCTCCTTCCCCTCCGCCAGTGCGGGTGTGCTATTCATACCCTGTACTGCTGTGTAGCGCTCACCTGACCGCACTCACCAATGTGAAGTGCTTCTGACCATGCTGACCAATGAGACCCCCTTCTTGTTAATAAGTGCTTGTCAATGGTCAGCATGGCTAGGTGACAACCGCTGACCAATGAGTGCTTGCCATTTGTGAGCAAAATTCAAAATACAGAGCACAGAGCTGCGCTACAGGGCAGTACAGGGTGCGAATAGTACACCCACACCAATGGAGAGGAAGGATCGTACATTCAAAGGTATGTATAACAGGGGGGAGAGGGGACCAGATTGGAGGGGGTAATTCCATTTTCCAAAATTCACCTGGGAAAGCGGAATTACCCTTTATGAATAGTACCTGGAGTGACAAGAACAATGAATGGGAGAGGGGTGGGAATTGTTAGTTGTAGGTTGCCTTTGTTCTTTCAAACACTCTTAATCTGAGATTGCCTAAAAACAGCTACAGCGGGCTGCAGGCATTAGTGCTTGACCTTTCCTCCTACACCACCAAATGTCAATAAGTTTAAGCATACTCAGAGCAAAGTCTGAAAGACCCCCCGACACATAGCACATACACATCATCCTCATACCGTTGCATCGTGATCTTCGAAGATCTCCCTGGCCTCCTCATAGTTGCATTGTTCCTCATTACACTCTCTCTCCAGGTTTCCCGGGACAAACATCTCAAAGTCAAACTGGTTGTAAAGCAAGCGTCGTCCCAGGAAGCTGCTGGCATCCTCCCCATCTTTGAAAACTAAAACAAGGGTAAAGGAAATATTATTTGAAATACGAGAAGGCCATCCTTACTTTTAGAGTAAAGTAATTTTATTGACCACGCTGAAAAATTTGTCTTTTCGGTAAGCACAAATGAAATGTTCTTAGTAAACAGTTCTTACAGAAAAAACATGTACAAAGAACAACAATGATGTACAAAGTACAAAAATCCATAGCAAACTATTAAGTTTTCTAGCGCTGTGTTTCAAGTACTCTATCTATCTAAAGGCGGTTCACCTCCTTTATTTTCATAGCTGCTTTTTGATACAAGTACAATTTAGCCATATCCAGGAGCGCAGATTTATTTTTCCTATTAAGTTTCATAGCCATTTAAGAAAGTAAAACCAGGATGTCCAACTCCATGTACTGTATATTCTATGCAAAATAAGTGAACTACAGAATTTAGCATGAGTGACACCATCATGCTGCATGAGGTAGGATCTTGGAACAAAGGTACTAAGATCCCAAGGTTATACACTATATGGCCAAAGATTTGTGGACAACTGACCATCATGCCTATATGAGCTTGTGGAAAATCCCATTCCAAAACCATGAATATTAATATGGAGTTGGCTCCCCACTGTTTATGGTTATAAGAGCCTTCACTCTTTTGGGAAGGCTTTAAAAAGTTGTACCCAATCAGTCACAAGAGCATTTATAAGTTTAGGTGCTGAGAAAAGAAGACCTGGCTCACAACTGGTGTTCCAATTCGTCCCGAAGGTGTTCAATATGGTTGAGGTCACGGCTCATCTTTGCAACTATGGCAAAAGAGTCCAGTTTGTAGACATGCAGAATCCTAACCTTTTCATTCTTTTAATTTGCTGACTGTCTTTCCCAGACAGACATATCTGAAATTAAACTTGTTCTTTGCCCATGCCCCGGTGGTCTTGTTATTTGGAAAGTTGATTCCCTAGGTATACAGAACTTGGAGATTAAACTTTTGTGAAACACTTATAAAGAGTGCAGCATGTTCAGAGTATGCAGGGAGTATAGAACATTTGGTAGCATTCGGATTCATTGTGTGATTTAAAGGAGAACTATGGGGTCAGTGTTTTTCCCCATAGTTCTACTCCTTAGGGTAACGGGAGGACACAAACTAGCGTCCTCCCGTTACCCTAAGCTCAGTATACCGCGAGCTACAGCTCGCGGTATACAGAGACGCCGCAGCCGGAGCGGATCCCGACGTAGATGACGGGATCCGCCCAGCTGCGTGAGTGACAGCTGGCTCTGCCTATCTAGAGGCAGAGCCAGATGTACCCGCCCCCTCCCCCGTCCGTTCCGCCAGTCAGCGCTGGCAGATCGGAGCGGGGAGGGGGAAATCCAGCCCGTCCCCCTGTCACGGCAGAGAGCCGTGACAGGATCGAGAGGCGAGCGAACCCGGTATGTGTTCGCTCACCTCCCGATCTACTGAGCCGACCTGTGACAGTCTCTTTGTCACAGGTCGGCTAGAACTATGAGGTGAGTGAAAAGCACTCACCTCATAGTTCTCCTTTAAGTTAAAGCATACCATCCTACTCAATTTCACCAAGTGCGCTAGATTGCCCTATGAAATATCCAACAGGAGGCAAAGTTCTGTAATAAAGTTTTCTAAATTCCTTAGAATATATATAGTTGACCAGGAGAAGATTCTTCACTCCATTCTTTAACATTTGCCAGTAGTCTCCATGTTCTAGAAATATGAATTGCTGAGCCACTTGGGTAGTGTAGACAGGAGGTTCTTATACTGCCCACCATAGACTGCTATCTTTTAGAAAACAAATGATATGGACATCATATAGCAAAGAATCATGTGGCCAGAAGCTGCAGTCCAAACCAGTCTTACAAGTAAAACTCACGCTGAAAATATGGTGCCACTCATAACAGATTAAAGGTAACATGATCGGACCTTCTACCTGCAACACAGTTACAATATGTCTTGATTGGCGCTATTGGAGAATTATTTTATAAATAATACTGACCTTGTCTATTTTGTCCGGATTCCACCAAATTTTTCACACAATGCGGCAGACTGAATACCTCGAAGATCAGCTGGTAGATGAGGACCAATTGTGGAACAAGAATCTGGTATCTGTGAAATGAGGAGTACACATTACACTGAGTATGTTTTAATTATTCTAAGCGCATGTTAATTCTTGTATAACTGCATGATGATGAATTTCCAGTGATTACCTATGCTGTGATTCATTAGGAAACAGAAACTATTGCTATCAGTGGTGAGAGTACTAATACTGGGCACAAAAAAATGGAAACAGTGACGTTTTCTTAATCTGAATGTTGTATAATCATATTGGTAAAGAAAATGTAATTCAAGGGTTTCAAAACCATGCACTTGGTGGAGATATGAGGATATTAGTGGCATTATTTGATAGTGATAGGCCTACAGTGGACTAAAGTATAGTAATATGGTCCACTAAACACTGCTGACTTGACAATATAAGGGCAACAAATGGCAATCTTGACACCACATGGGCAATTTTATAAAGTATAAATGGGCAATTTGTATAAAATATGCAGGAAACAAACAATCTATTGTTACAAGATATGGGAAGCAAATAGGCAATCAATACAAATGTGGGCAGTAAGCATGTGGCGGGGCGGACTGTGTTCACCTGAGCCTGCGCAAAACTGACAGTGACACATCCAGCTCCTAACGCAAACAATGACAGTTTTGCGTGGCCTTGGGTGTACTCGAAGCCTAATCACATCCCTAGTGAGTAGCAAAAGAACAGTTGTGCCAAATTGCAGGCAGCAAATGGGCAAATCTTACAGTAGGTGGGCAAGAAATGGGAAAATGTTAAAATTTCTGAGCAACAAATGGGCAAATGTGATAAAAGGCAAGCAACAAATAAAGCAATCCTTACAATATATGGCCAACCAACAGCAAAAATTGTTGCCCCCATCCCCCCTCTCTTTCAAACTTCCCCGAAAATATCTTCTAACGCTGGCAAACTCCTACAGCAAAAATTCACCCTTGCTCCAGAAAAGATCACCTCCCCCCCACTATTCAATCACCTACTAGCCCTAAAAGACAGCAGCACCCATCACAGTGTGTCAGCTACTAAAAATTCACCCTTCCCCCAGAACCCCCCCCCATATCAATTACTCAACAGCCCTTAAAGAAAGCTGCACCAACAGAAAGTGTCACATGATACAGCTGAGGAAAAGTCTGGGAGGACTTCCCCTCAGCTGTGGCATGTGAGACCTCAGAGCCCAAAGGGAGCTAGGTGGAACCTGTCTGCTTGGAGCCGCAGGCCTGTCTGGCCCATTACTGCTATGTGGCCTTTTCTGCAGTGTCGTGGGCAACACAAACCCTGACTTTGCAGAGACCCCCTCATGGTGGTAATGTGCTGGGTAATGTGCTGGCTAATGTGCAGACTTACTGCACCCTCAGTCGTGCTGCACCACATGCAGATAATTCATTCAAAGTCTTGCTTCACCTCTTGACATCACTTTCAGCCAGTAAAACTGTGAAAGCTAACCAAAAGCAGCTTTCCTGAGCTACAATGTATATCAAAGGATGCATTAAAACAAGTGCTATGCACCATAGACAGTAGCAGTGACATCATCATTGTGCTGTAAATAACCTGTGCAGACAGCAAAGCTGTGGGAGGGACCCAGCAGGCCCCACCCACTACAGGCTGCCTACAGAAATGTACAGGAAGGGGCGGAAACAAGACCAGTCACCCTGCACAAGGAGAGAGAGCCGTAGTGACTGGTCTTTATTACAGGAAACTCCCGCACAAAGGTAAAGTTTCACACTGGATTACTGCACAGATCAGTTCTGGAAGCAGCTGCAGGTAAGTGGCAACACTTCTAGGTGCATAATAGGTATTCCTGATCTTCCCTGCCAGTCTGTCCTTGACCTAGAGATGTGTTAGTGCATGGAAGGGTTATCATTCATCCCTAGATCCAGTACAATAGCGATGAATCTCACACTCAATTCCAAATTCCAATGATTTATTATACACAGACAGCAGCATACAAAGGACAGGATCTTCCTACACGTTTCAGCAGCGAGCGGCTTTAATCATAGCTATGATTAAAGCTGCTTGTGACTGAAACACATAAGCAGATTGTGTGCTTTGTATGCTGCGCTCTGTGTATAATATTGGAACTTGGAATTGAGTGCTGGATTCATCACTTTTGTACCTCTAGGTGTCTGCACTGCATAGCTCCAGCAGTTTTTTAAATTTTAACAGAGTCTCTTTATATTATTATTATACAAGATTTATATAGCGCCAACAGTTTGCGCAGTGCTTTACAATCACAATACAATTCAAGACAAGATGGTAAGGAGGGCTCTGCCCCTGAGGGCTTACATTCTGAAAGGGAGGGGCCAGTGATACATGAAGAGGTAGCTGTGTGGGGAGGAATTGTTTGAGAAAGTGATGGTTCAGTGGTGAGGTTGAAGTGGGATAGGCTTCCCTGAAGAGATGAGTCTTAATGGATCGCCTAAAGGCAGTCAGAGTGGGAGATAGTTGGACAGGTTGGGGTATGGAGTTCCAGAGGATGGGAGAGACTCTAGTGAAGACCTGGAGGCGAGCATTGGAGGAGTTGACAAGGGAGCTGGAAAGCAGAAGGTCTTTGGAAGAGCGGAGGGGACGGTTAAGGTGAAGTGAGCTTTAAGTCTGAGTTTAAGGGTGTTATCAAACAACTCCTGCAGTAAATTAGGGGGTTTGATTCATTAATCAGTTGCATAACCTTACAAAAGCCCAAGGTGTGTGACGTGTTGTGCTGTAAAGTCACAGAACAAGCTTGACTAATTAGTTGAGGGTGTCTTATGTTATATATTTTATCCATTTACATAATACAATTACAGAGGTGCAGGGCTGTGCCTGGGTCATGTTAATAAATCATTTTGGAATGTACGGCTGAAAGTTATGGGGTAAGCAGGACGGTTATGTATTACCTGATATTACGGATTACGAAATTTAAGTTGTGATCACCTGACTAAAGCTTGAACTAGGACATGATTAATACCAGGGTTCTGAAAGTTCATCAGACCCCTGGGGAAGCAAAACTTTTTTCACATTAAGGGTCCGTTCACACTAGCCTGTACATGAATCGGAGGAACAGCTGGCAGGAGCCAGAGCATTGCACTCATCACGGTTGCAACGCTGTTCTGGCTCCGATACAAAAAAGATAATACATGCACATTTTTCCTTTGATGAAGAAGTGTGCATTTTTTATTTTATTTTTTGCAAAAGCTGGAATTTCTCTATAACCTTTGTATGGGCACAATTACAGCACATTAGGCAAGAGATGTTAGGCATCATTGTTTTCACATTGTGAGGCTGTTGTCATCAGAGTGGATGGACAGAGAATGGCAGATTAGTGACTCAGTTCTTTCACATCATCCCCATTTCCTCACACATGTGCACACAGCTCTGCAGGCATGTCCTGTCTGAACCCAGGATGACAGTGTAACACCATCACTCATTATTGAGATGTTTGCGCTGCTTTTACACACCTTGGAGCTAGGCATTGTGGGTAGGAATAGTAAATACAAGCAATTGCTTAACTTTTGTTGTGAAACAAAGAAGTCTTCCACACCCCTTTCAATGCCTAGTACATATATTTGCGTTACTTATCAATGGCTGATTATAGCGGGTCTCATGTAAGCAACCTCGGCACGACAGCAGTAATGGAACTTCAAGTCCCACAAAACATTTCAAGGTTCTAAAAGAAACAGACATGACTTCCAAAAACAGATGTGATTACTGTAAGAAAGTATATTGCATCCTGATAACTGTATTGGCTTAGTACATGTAATCAGGGGTGTCCCTACACTTTTTGTCACCTG